AGTCGATGTTTACAGAACTTTAATAACATGGCGAAATATAGACTACAAACGTGAATTATCTGAAAAAAGAACTGAATAATTTTTGCCTACCTTCATACTTTTTTTATGAGGCTACGAATACTTGAATTACACGTTTGCCTATTATTTTATTGAAACCTAGAATATCTAAACGATTAAGTAATCTTTGTCACAAATTGAGTTTACTGACAGTGACAGTAATTTATCCATGACATATGATACAAAACGGTATTGTATGATTTTTCTGATAACTTCATGTGTCAATGGACGCGAACATTGAACGTTTATTTATTGGAACTGGTAGCCATTGGTGGGCAACTCGAAGATGCGAATGTTTCAATCGTGTACAAGTTGGAAGAAGACGAAAGAATACGAATAAAAGTACTATACATTATTTGTAAAACATTTGTTTATAGACTCTGTATGATAGATCGAATTCAACTGCTGAAGAATATATTTTCTTAATACAAGTCCTTGTGTTTTGGAGTTAAGGTCGATAATCATACTTAGTAGTTGTCAGTTCGGAGCGTCTTCGCAAATAATAGGAACTTAGGGTTAAGTTCCTCGACATCTGTCTGTCTGTCTGGATTCAACATAGAACTTGGCAGTGAAGTGCACCAGTTCGAGTTGCCACGTTCCAAATAGCACACAAAGGTAGACAAGAAGATGAGTGAAGAGAATCAATAGAGTTTGACAAGTATAAGAGTGAAACAGAATGGGTAATGGTAGAAAGGAATATGAAAGATTACAGAGACTGAATACATCTGCGCTGGCCATTGACAACGATTTTGAGCCATGTCACCTATTGTCTCCAGCCATTGATTCCTAGAGTCCCGAGGGCCTCAACGCGAAAGTCTGCATCTCCCTACCTGACTCAGTTTAACTGTCAAGGATTTCATGGATTGATGAGGCCATGTTTTTGTTTGGCCACCACTGGCTCTTTTCCAACCTTCACCTATATCAGCTCTCCTCGACATCATATTCTCTGAATTGAATTGTTTTATTGGTGAAGACTTCACTTTCACACTAGTTACCATCATCCACACAAATGAGATATCTAAGGCGTAATTCAATGAAACAAAACAAAACTGTCCTACTGTTATAATACAATTGTCTCTTAACATATTAAGAAACTCTAGGGAATTCTGAAATAGGTCTTAGGTCTTTACTACTCTGCTCGTGTAGTACTGAATCACTGGATGAACATTCAGGAACTTTTTCAAGGTATACACCATTGCATCTTGTACAGTTGAATTGCAAATTAAAAAAATATCTTCAGTGATTCAAATCTCCTAGTAAAACCCAAAGTATCAGTTATATTTTTCTAATTTTTACTAAGGTATTACTCTTCTGCCTCTCCAGCCAAAAGAGTAAAGTGACCATATTCTTTTTGGAAATGAAACACCTGCTTAAACACCTTTTCATCATTTTCACTGATATCTTGACTCCACATCTAAGTTACAAGAATAACAACTTAAGACACATATTGCATCGAGTTTGAAACTAATCAGGTAGCTGGTTCTGAATCTATGTGTGCTCATAATTATATGTAAATTCAGCACCAGTCGTTTCAAATTATTTTTCCCTATATACGTGCATACGCTTACAAAGATTTTAAACATCAGTTCGCCGTTCTGCCAAATGAATCCATCTCATGGATTATTTAGATGGACTGGTTTCAGATAGATTTCACATTCATTATTTCAGATTGAAAACACTTGGCTACTCACTACTCAAAAATAATTCATTTCCTTATTTATTTAGAACTTCCCTTTATTCGCTATCTATTCAGGCATCATTTGGATTTATTAAAAATTTAGCCAACCGATTCGCAAATAAACATTCTACATGATATTAGGAGTGTTCCAAAACCTCTAGTAGCCTGCATAGACAAATCTTTGACTAGTTATGTTGATAACTGTCAAACAGTTAGTAATGTATACAGCGTGTACAGTAGTTACACACGTATTTCTTCCTCGGTTGCTGTTTTTACCAACCTTGTTGTTTGTATTTTGTGATCATTTGAGCAGGTAAATTATGAAGTCTAATATAAACACATCTGAAATTCTCAAGAGTTAATTTGTAGGAATTTGATCTCTTTCAAGCTTCATCACAGATTGATGTCAGTTGGCGAACCAATGTAAATCATGGCGTTCTGGACAGCTGTTTCGTCCTAGTTTGGTATTCTTCATCAGTATGCACCCACCAGTGTTCGAATATAGGACCTCAAGGTAAAAAGCAAGCTTGTGAACCGTTCAGCTGATTGGACCCAATCCAGCGACCCATGGAATCTAACTACTGTCAGTTAGTGATTTTAGTGCGACTACTAGTCAATGCCGTCAGCAAGTATTTGCCATCACTCCCCACCTGGTGTACTTCACTGGTCATGACTTCTCAGTTGAACTCCAGGCAACTGCATCTTGCAGTCAGTCTGACAAATACCAGCTTGCATTGTACCCTGAAGGTCCTGGGTTCTAACTCCGGTGGGTGTGTGCTGTGAAGAGTCCCAAACTTTGACAAAGTAGCTTTTCAGTGATTCTCTAACTGACATCAGCCCGTGATCAAACTTTAAATGTCTAAAATTGCTGCTTGTTTTTTACTAACTACTGCTCACGTTTTTATGTCATACACAAGAAAAATCTTACCATACAGTCAGTGTTTGACAAAAACATGGCTTTATTAGTTGAAATTATGTAAAAAAATAACTTCATCTATCTTATAAAGATACTACCTTGCTATATGACCAATCAAATAAGAAAAAGGTGACACTTTCCGGCAACTTCATGATCTTTCGAATAAGTCTAATTCTCCTTTGAGTGAGTTAAATCCTAATGTATGTATTTTAAACACTATCCTGTTTTTAAAAACCTATAAGATATAGTCTAATCTGTTAAATCAATCTTTTGTGTGACCAAATAAGTTTTTAAATTGAACATCAATACTTAAGTGATTAACCCGACTACATCTGTCGTGAAATAAATCTCTGTAAATACTGAGTCATAAATGATCTCCCGGTGTAGTGATCCTGATACAGCAGTAGTATAGGACACCATTTCTTTCCTTTCCTTCACGTTCCTAGTGGTACACAGGGCCTCAAGCTAGTGGCTTGAAGTTTCTGTAGCAGTGTTTAATTTTACAGGATGAGTTGCTACCCTCATACCCAACCTTTCCTCTTTACCAGCACTATTTCTCGCTTAGCGAGGTAAAGGAGTGAGTCTGTGGCCGGGGATCGAACCCCGAACCATGCGCATGGTCGGCAAGCGTCCTAACCGCTATATCACCGACGCACATATGACACCATAATAGCATAATTTTATTTGATAAAACACATGATACAGTATTATTATTAATACGGTGTTATTTAGTGATAATAATACTATATCACTATTTTCCAAATGAAATTATTCTATTATGGGATTATACTCTACAATTATGCCCAAATTCTATCATTATTATAAGTAATACAGGAAAATCCTCATACGCTTTCACTATATGGCGTGTGCTACTGATAAGATTTATCAGTAGAATGTTCAGCATAACAACGTCCACTATCAGGAAGATAGATTTGATGTCAGAGAAAGCAAATGATACAGCGTTGCAGAGATACATGAGAGACGTGAAAGGAACATAGAGAAACACAATATGAAGGCCAGAAGTAGCACAACACGGGAGATCTGTGCAAATGGTGCGCTGAAGATAAGATGTACATAATTTTGATAGATAGAGATACCAAACTGCAACTAATCATTCCTAAACCAAGTCTCTTGTCTTCTGCTTTTACAATGTGAGTCTTAGTGCATTTTAGAAGTCAGAAGCATGCCGTGGGGTACTAGAGTCAATTACTGACTATTTGTCCCCCAATACTTATCCTCTGTAATTCTGATTTAAAAGATAAACTAATAATATGTTAAATCTTTAAATTGCGTGAACTACCCCCTGAAGTGAGATAAACATCCTGTTTTCGAAGACTTAGGAAATTAAATGGCAAAGAAGTGAACTGTGATTTCCAATGACCAGTAGTTAACACTTTTGAAAACTACTATGACTATACTTATGATAAAATAAAAATGCTAAAGAAATCAATCAATCCCAATCCTCACTAAGTATTTTTCCACGTTGTTAAGAACTGAAGAGAATGAAACAGCAGCATCCCTTATCTCTTCAATAAACTTTTAATACAGTTCTTATTTACATGACTTTAGCGTTAGAAGGCTTTATTCCAGTCTTCTTTAACGTTAGCTCCAAAATTAGTATAACACGTCACTCTCATACAATAAAACTATATAGTCGTCGAAGAGAGCTATGAATGATGAAATATCTTTGCATACACAATCATTACCTCTACATACATATTTCAGTAGTACATTTGACATCAAAATATAAACAAAACTCCCAGTTAGTTGAAAACACTTCATCAATTCAACCAATGTAGAGATGGCAGGCAGAATTTATTTATTTATTTATCAAGATACAAGATGTACAATGTCTGTTAAAAAGATATGTTAGGTGAGAAAATGTATGCAAAGATGAAAATTCTGCATTTCAAAAATATCTGCCTTTTAATGTGTAAATTATAACCAATAATGAATTCACTTGAATAGTTAGTATTTTTATGACTTTTATAATTTTCTCTTAAGATTTTTAGTTTGTTAAAAGGTTTGATTTTGAAATTTACACTTTGATTTTAAATGAAGTTGTGTAAGTTACTTCAGTGAACTAGAAATAATAGCAGATAGCATATTCAATTCTGTGATAGTTTTAATATCTGCAACAGAAATTTTGCTGCATTTTTTGCTAAATAATTAATTATATGAGTACATATCACAGTACACTGTTGATTTTTTTAAAATGAAATTAATTGTGTACATCCACATGCCATAGGAAAGAGACAAATACTGAATATATATGTAATGCTCTGGATCTACTCATACTACTAATGAGTAGCTTGATGATTATGAGATAATTGTAAAAACTATTGGATTTTAATGAGAAGCTGATGAAGATAATGATGTTGATGATAAAATACACTCAATACTAAATGGTGAATCATTTGATTTACTTAACTTTATGTCATTATTAAAACAACCCTTTAAAGTGTTTGCCTTAGACTGATGTAATTCTGTAACACTAGATTGGAAAGGTAATTGTCTTTGGTTGGTCACATGACTATTTCGTTGTAATTCATTCCATACATTCATATCCCCCAGTGGAAAATTCAGATGAAAGTTTGTCCATAATTGGTGGGGATGAATTAAAGCTACATCATTAGACTGATTGTTCGATTGTTTACAAAAAGACATAAATTGAGAAGATAAATTCATACAGTTTTGTGGCATTGTGATATGCTGAAATAAATGATTTTGTTCAAATTCTTTCACTTGATTTACTGGAGAAACTAAACTTAATGGCATGTCATCAACAGAGTTGGATGTTTCACTACCTTTTGGTCCTACAGATGAAAATTTAGAGTTCTTCTGCATAGTTTTAGTCGAAGAAATCTTTGAAATATGATTATGCTTCTTTTTGACAGCTTGAATACGTTTTTCAATTAATTTCCGCCTTCTTTTTTCTAAACGATTCGCTTCTCTTTTTAACAACTCCTTTGGATCAATTGGCTCACCTGAACATGTGATTAGTTGAGCATTATGTGCTGGCCTTCCAGGTCCTATATCAGTCGAATAACAAAAGAAGTTAATGGTAAACCACATAAATAAACTGTTGATAGCAAAATTGTTTGTTTGGTTTTCACACGGTATAGATTTTCAATAGGTAGAAGCAATACAGTTTATTTGCAGTCGTCAATGTGCTGATAAAATGAATGTATTACCTACTTAAACACATGGCGCTATATACTACTAACTCATTGATTTAAGTAGTTGTTTACCACTCACATCAACTGGTAGTAGATACAACGTTGTAAACATAAAATAGTTCTCTAAATTATTAACCAACAAGGTAATTTAATTCGTCAAAGCTAACACCTTTACAACTGAAGTTTCCCTTTGTTATAGTCTTCGCTTCATTGGTTCTCCCTACCACAAAGTATTCAAATGAAATTCCATATTAACTTCAATGCTTTTTCAAGTATATGTTTATGACTTCATTAGTTTAGACTAAAAGAAATTCTTTTACGATAATAATAGTTATTTAAATCTGATATATGTTGAGTTAATTACTTATTTTACTTGAATTCGAAGCCTGGAGTGTATGCAACTTTATTCGGGAAAGCACATATGAATTTAATACATGAAATATCTTACCAGTTGATAGAAGAAATAAAAAGGGGAGAAACACTTGTATTAAGGTTATTTTTCACATAAATGTAATACGTTCTCCTGAACTAATATATTCCTTTTTGTATTAAGATATAAAACCTTTCAACAAGTTCTTCCCAGAAGTAAAGAATATGTGGTACAAAACAGGGATCAGTCCCTATTTACGACTGATAGATCAGGTTGACATTAAGATTTATTTTACAGTTTTTATCAATTATAAAACTGGATCAAAAGTACTATAAACTAAACTACTTATATTCAACTTAACTGAAGGATATTTTGTTATTCTTGCTAAAAGTAATCTACTTGAGTTCATTTGCCACAACACCTTCATGATGTTTGACCCATCTTTCCCCTTTTCATGCCTACTATTTAACAAAAGTTTGTTTAGAAGTTAAGTCACGAAGTGACATTAACTAGAGAACAACTGAAAACCGAAGAGCTTTGGACTATTCAATAGTACTCAAACATAACTCCACCACGGGTAGAAACCAGGACCTGTAAGTTACAAGGCGAGTCCGCTGGTCGACCATTCAGTCACTGGAACTCAATCTAATATCGAATGAATTATAATATCTGCCATTTCGCTACAGCTTCCCCGTAGCTGATCTGAGATCGCTATCTAACTTGAAATCAATTTAATCTCTGCAAAATAACACCTAAAATGGTCGTACCTCACTTACCTTTACGTGTATGTTCTCGTTTACGCCACTTAGCTCTTCTGTTTTGAAACCACACCTTTCAGAATTAAAAAAAAGCAGATCAAAGAGAAATGAATAACTTCCTGAATGATATCCGTTGGTCTTGAATATTTTCATGAAATATTTTATATGAGAAATAAATTTGCTGAATGGCGATAGTTCCCAAAATTTTCTTAAGTATATTGTCAAGTATTGGTTTTGTAGAGATTTTGTTTGACTGGATGCAGGATTTCACCATGAGCTGACATTAGTTAGAGAACCGTTGGAAAACCAGTAGGAAGTACAGGACAGCTGTTTCCTCCTTCTTTGGGACCCTTCAGTGCGCACCCGCATGGGGTCGAACCCAGCACCTTCTGGTTACGAGGCGACCTCGTAAACCATTGAGCCACTGGGACCCGATTCAGGTTGAAGATAAGGCAGTAAATCATCGAAGAAGACATTACGAAATGGTTGCACTATGTCATGAACCGGCCATTGGATCGGGTCCCAATAGCTCAATGATCTATGAGATCATCTTGTAACCAGGTGCTGGGTTCAATCACTGACGGTGGGTGCGTACTGATGAAGAGTCCCGAACTAGGACGAAACAGCGGCCCAGTACTCCCTACCGGTTTTCCAATGGTTGCCTAAGTGATGTTCGTGATGAAATCCTCCATCCAGTTAAGTATATTGGTTATTTCATCTGCTTTACAATATTAAGGAAGAAGTGAAGTACACTAAAGCCACATTAATATATTTGTGAAATTTCTTTTGAAAATGAGTTATCAAATTCCAGTAGTGTTGAAATATATACATATATATTATCCCAAGTGTTTGAATTGCATTCCAATACAGCCTTTCCAGAAGTTAGATAGGAAAGTAGGAAACTCACTCTCCTTGACTCCCTTGATGGCAGAAAACTGAATTCATCTGAGTCTATACCACTTAGTACAGAAAAATGACTGTCAGGTCAAAGACCACATCACCACTAAAATGTCCGTCAGTTGGGCTTACTAAATTATCGATGATAAGCAGAGTTAGTTATGATCAAGGCTTTTTTAATATGATAAATTGTGTACATGGCTAAACTTATATCAAGTTTCATCACTAAGTAATTATTGTAAGATTAGCTGAAATGAGAATGTACGCTGGTAATGATTTTCTCTAGACAGTCATCGCTCTTAGTCAATCGCAATACACTTTAATGGTATTTATTTTACACCACAACATTTATGGATTTAGAATCGCTATAAAATATGTCAGCTATAATCTCATTCATAATTCCCTAATCCTCCACTGTATTATGCAAATAGTACCACATTAAAAGGCTTACTCAAATCATAAAGAAAACTTAAGGTAATTCACAAAGTCAACAAAATATTGCTTACCTGTATACGAGATTCTGGCAGGCCTAAACGCTGTGCTAATTCTTCTCTTACAACCATACTTGGATAATGACTTACACGGAAGACTAATTCTAGTTCTGTTAACTGTTGTCCTGAAAAATTAGTACGTGTTCTTCTACGACGTTTACCATTATGATGATCATTACTATCGTCGTCATCCTCATCACCATCACCCTCTCCGTCATCAATATCATCAATATCATTTATATCACTGCCAACATTTGATTTAGTCTCAGTTACAGAAATATCAATTTCTTCAGATAATAATAAATGACTGTCAGCATTGTACTCATCGACAATATCAACTTCATCATCATGGCTGCTTTGTTCACTCCATTTCTGATAGGTATTATTTTCAGTATGTATTTCACTATCTGATGTACAACCATTATTGATTACATAATAATCTTTGCTCTTGGATTCTTCTTCTTCTTGTCGTTCCTTCTCCTCCTTTCTGTTGGACTTGAATATCGATTCATTTGTTTTATTTTTATAACTTGAAGATTTACAGTTCAATTTTGCTTTTTGCATACATGAAGAACTTGTTGATAATTCTGTGTACCTCTTACAAACTGATACATTACTAGAGCCAGTACTTGATTGGTCATGTGATGAGATGTTTACCTGTCCACCTATATTGTTTAAAAAAAAAGAAGAAATTGGTGAATATAATGTAAACAAAGAATAAATATTATGGTTACAAGGCGAACTCGTAGACCATTATTAAGTCACTGGGACCCGATCCAATGGTCAGCACATGCATTCTAACTTCCGCAAATTCACGACAAAGCGCGACAACTTAGCAATGTCTTCAATGAGTAACTGTCCTGAGTTCTAACCCCAGTGGGTCCATACTGCTGAAAAGTGTCAAACCAGGACGAAACAGCTGTCCAGTACTCTCTGCAGGTTTTCCAATGGTTCTGTAACCAATATCAGCTCATGATGAAGTCCTCTAACCAATCAAACAAAATCCCTGCATAGCCAATACTTGAAAACAAATATTGTTCTTTTTAAGTGATAAACGTAAATTCTCAATTTCTAAGAAAACTTGCTCTATCATTCAAACAAAAGTAAATTTCAGCTAAAACGAGGTATTTAACGGAACCCTGACAGACTCCAGATTATATTGTAAGGACAACATTTGAAAACCTGTTAGATATCTTTTTGCCATCCTACTAACAACCTACCAAAGAGAAATAAATGTCTGTCTTATTAGTGAGGAAGATATACAGTATGTTGGGTGAAGAGTTTCAAAATATTTAGAATCCAATAAAAAGCTTGTGATGTAGATTTAATTTTTCAATGACTTCTGACATTATATATTTATAATATATATCATTGATAATTGAACTATTAGGATTTACATACGTATTGATAAGGAGTTCACTTAACCATTTATTACCAGAGTTACAATGCTAAGTCCTGTGAATCAAAGTTTTGTATCTGGTTGTATTTATCATCAGACTTATTTTGATGAAATCTCAAGGAACTAAATGTTTCCAGAAAATATCTTCACAAAGGTATGCAGTAAACTAGTCAGGTATGTGTTTCCGTATGTATTTAAACAAAGACTGTCTTCTTGTTTAACTGGACTATTCATGTTACCAAGTTATCATTAATATCATACTCTTCAACCGTCCTGTAGTCTTAATCACTTAGTTTATCTTCTAACTTTGATAATGATAGATAGAACCTAATCAAACATCCAGAAACAAACTGTCATTTTTGGTGACCGATTAAAAAAGAGAGTGTAGTACACATTCATATTTTCTCCCTGAATATAACTCACGTCGTAATGCTGAAAGAACAGAGAGATGGAAATCGGTTAACACACTTCAGTCAAAAATAAGAAGAAAAGCTACCGTAACAACAGAATGAAAAATCTGTCAGTTTAAAGTAATTATTTCATCTACAGTTGCACTGCCATATTTATTCTAGGCATGCAATGATGATATTAAAATTTCATCCTTACTTCAAAGTGTTTTTTGTTACTTATTTCTATGAAGTAATTAAGTTTTTTGTCTTTGTTTACACCAAAAGAATAAAAGCGACTTTGGTATTATTAACCAGTTTTTATCTAAGCTTAGCCTTGTGACTTATAAATACAGTGGTAAAAGGAATCAAATCATAAATATATTTCAAGGAAAGCCTCGTCACTGACCGAAAACAATTAGAGAAGCAAGGGAAAAACCAGATGTTAGAGGACAGATGTTTAGCAGATACCCAGGATTTCACTAAGCCCCAAAACGCAATACTTTTGGATTACGAAATAAGTATTTTGTTATTCGACCAATGGGTCGCAAATCTAGTGGCCCTAAAAACTCGGATTTCTTTCACTTCTCCACATACAGCTGTTGCTATCCAATGTCGTCAGTGAATATCTATCCTGACTTGATGAACACTATCAACTACAGCCTTTGGTTGAAATTCAAGGAAGTCCATTCTGTGTAGTAAGCTACTAACAAGCAGCGGACCGAATTTTGAATGTTGAGTTTATGAAGATTAAACTGATTTCAAAGTAGATTTCATTATAAAGAGATATTTCTTATTATTATTGTTCCCTTGGGTTCCTAGTGGAACATAGGGCTTCAACTGCACGTCTAGCTCCACTTGCTTCTGTCTTCTGCTGTACTTTTCACCTGAATCCATGTTAGTTGGTCCATACTGTTTCAACTCCTCTTCCCACAATCTCCTCTATGTCACCCTTGCACTGACGCCCTACTCGCCGCTTCCCTTTCGGGTTCCACTTGAGCGATGGTCTGACGCGCGCGTGATGTCACCCAGTGGCCTCCTCAGCGAGTGTCCGATCCATCTCCACTTTCTCCTGCATATTTGCTGGGCGATTGGATAAAGTGAAAACCAGGGAATATCGAAAATCTAATTTGAAATTTACCCAATTACCTATGAACCTAACAGACTGACAAAATGTATCTACATCTTTAGCTCCTTTACATCATTCGAGTCAACACCTTACAACATTTGTCAAACATCTCATTTCGAGCAATTTACTCAGTCACATTTGAGAGAAAGGCGAAAGGAGAAGACATTCATTCAACTTGTTAAAATGACGTCTTTCTTCCCCACTTATTGTCTCTCAACTTTATGTCCATATCTGTGAGTTGTTTTCCTTTATTTCATGATATATAATTATTATTATTATTAAAAATCACACCTATTCGTAATATGACCTAGCAACACAAAATCAAATTGTCTTCTCTTAGTCATAAACCCTGCCTGATCTACTCACTTAACCAAGTTCCGTTGACAGATTGAGGTTAACAGTTTACTTGATTTATGCCTGAGGGATAAGCATACTTACTATACATGCATACAATATTTACCTATACATAATATACATCATGTGTATTTATTTATATCACCAACAAAAATTACGTAATCACCAGCTTGGTAGCAAAATCTGATTGGAAAATTGACAGGCGAATATCCCGTGAAGTCAAAGGAAAATTAATGTTTAGACAGGAAATTATGTATGTATATTTTCTATCTTACAAATTTCCAACATAGTCTTCTTTTTTGCATCACCATTTAAGAAATAATAAATTAAAATGAGTTTGTTGATGGGAGACAAAATTGTCTCCCTGTCCTCTACAATAACACCAATTGCAAACACAACCACACCTGAGCATACATAAACAAACATATATATATATATATATATATATATATATATATATATGTATATATCATTGACAACATTTCATACTCCCTCCATCTGTCACGTCACACTTCTTTATTCACCATATACACACACACTCACACGCCTTCATGGTTTGTTGTATGGATAATTCTGTGAGTAAATATGTGTCAAATCTTCAAAGATGAGATATGAATGTGAATGGAAGATTGAAATATGGGTATAACACTTTAACTTTAACAAATTTGTTGATAATTGTGTAGCAATAAAAATAAATTACTTTTATTCAACTATTTAAAATTTTTTTATATTTCCTAACACATAAATTTAGTGAAATACAAGTTTCGTTATCCAGGAAATTTTAAGCGATTGTAATGCCTTAATTACTAATAAAAAAATTATTTGGCAACTTGTTTTAAACACAAGCTATTATATAATTTACTTATATACTAAATAGTAATTCCGCCTTACCAACAATGGAGAATCTTTTTTTTGTCTAATAAGAAAACCAGCCCCCCTGGGGGTATGAAAACAATTATAGGTTTCAGTAAAAACAATCCTTTTTTGTTGTTGTTGTTGTTATTGCTGTTGTTGATATGATTACACAATTTGTATGGAGCGTGAATAAAACATTCATTCCAAAATCTTAAACAGTAAAGTTTTCAAGTATTGGTTTATAGGGATTTGACTGATTGGTTACAGCAGGTCAGACGTGAGGACAAATACTCACCGAAGACATTGGCTAGTGGGCTGGCCATTGATTCGTGTCCTAGTGGCTTAATGATCTACGAGGCTGCTCTCCTTGCAACCGGAAGTTGCTGAGTTCGACCCCTGGTGGTTAGTGCGTACTGTTGAAGAGCTACAAACTAGGGGGAAACAGCTGTCTAGTACTCCCTACCGGTTTTCCAATCGTTTTCAAACCGATGTCAGTTCATGATGAAATCCTGATATCTATGGTCGGCCTGCGAAATTTGGGCCACCGATATCCATGCTGAAAATTCCATACTTGTACCAAAAATACAGTGTGGAATCAAGCTGTAAATCAAAAATCAAAAAATAAAGTTTTTTTATTTATTAATTTAAGGTCCTTTCATATACATGAGGTCTATTTTGTTAGAACAGTCAGGCTTTTGTACTGAAGATGTTGAGGTAGAGGCAACTTGATAAATTCTGGTAGTAGTTATAGAAATAACCAGTAACAATTCAGAGTTTCCTTTCAAATATGAAAAAATGATTTCACTTTTCAATGGTTTAAAAGGAATGCAAAATACACTGGTCAACTAGATGGATAACTTATAAAGTTACTTTTATGCAAATACCCGATTTATATTAATTCTTCACTTTGCCATTCGTAATTTCAATATTTGATTTTACTTTAAGGTGATGAAAACACAAATAATCACTTACATCAGTTAAATAAATTGTTTCAAATCCCGAAGTCCTTTCGAACGATACTGAGGAACCCTGTGTATCAATGTGAAGCATTCATGGTGGGGGGTGCTCGATATCCAAAGTTGACAGGGTTTTCGAGAACAGAGCTGCCAGCATTCCTCTTTTCTCCTTTGTTTAGTCAAGCTGGACAGCGTTCTAGAATACTTTTGCTGACTTGACTTTGCTCACGGCCGGTCGATTTACTTTGCTGCACATGAACAAGTAATCCGATAAATACACAGCGAAGGGACCAAAAAAGGTATCTTGTCCTTAACATTAGACTGGATTAACTATCTGCTGGAGAATGTGATACGTAAGGTGGTTGCTTGAAATGTCTTCATTAGACATTTAGAAAGGCGGTTTCTTAGAATTTCTGATTCGATGTCACCTTTGGATTCCAGGTTCATGAAGAGAGTTTTCTTCGGAATACTAAGAGCTCCATCTTTGTACATCTTGTCAACTCTGGACATCGAGCTCCTCCACATGACTACTTCAAAGTGCTACACAGGGTTCCTAAATAAACTGTGCTTATTACTTTCATGATAA